GACTGGCAGCCAGAGACTTTACTAAAGTCTGCCAAACTTATTCAATCCTTAGGCTTTTCTTATACTAAATAATTTCTACCACTATGATTGAATCATACCTGTCATAGTCGCAGGACTGTAGCAACTCTATTAACTCCTTGGGGTCCAAACATCGCTTTGACTGGTATCCTCCTAATTTTCCACCTTTAAACTGATCTTGAACAAGTTTAATAAAAAAAAGATTAGCTATTTAGAACATTTACATTCTCTCGACAATGGTCTTAAAGTACAAAGTGAGACTGGTTGAACTCTTTCAATTTGTAAACACACCAATCTAGAAAGATCTTGACCAAGGTGAGACTCCCGCATATTTTTTTACCCCAAAAAGCATTCAATTTGCACCTGGCACAATAAAACCTGAAATATGATTGATCTTCACATTTAAGATTTAACTTCCTATGCAGTGTACACATAATGAAAACCAAACTAAGTATGAGAAAGCTTTGGATATAGTCAAACCCCAAAGCAAATCTTATTGATTTGGAGAGATGGAAGTGGGGCTTTTAATTAAAATCCCTCCAAATTACCAGCCTGCAAAAACAGATACATGGTAATAAGATTCCTCGGAAGCACCAACTATCTCTCCAACTGTCTTCTAGTTCTATAAAAAGATTAGAGGGTATCAATAGTTCCCTCAAAATATTAAATAGAAAATCAATTTGAGAAAAAAAATGGCAGATGCAATCCCTTCTCAAAATAATATATGACTGAATATATAATCTAATATAAAAAAGAAAGAAAATGTACTGCCATTTGGCAATTCAATGTGAGGCACAAAGTTTTCAATCTTCAAACCCATATGCAAATTTGCTGGTCTCAGAATCTGTCCAAAAGAAATTGTTTTGTTTTCTAGATAATTGTATCAACGTCCAATTCAATCTGATTGTGACATTTCTAGAAAAATTACAAAACCTGGTGGAGTCTGAAGAATAGCACATGTACATCATTACTTTGGATCACAGTGAGGCATTACAGGAGAACGTAGGGCAATAAGTCCTATCTTTTCTTGATAACTCAATTTCTTGCCTAATTTATGATTAATACTTGACTGCTTTCACAAATTTCAAAAACAAGACACCTGCTTTGGGTAACAACTATGATTTTAGCAAGCAATGTCTGGGGGAAGGAAAAACGTTCATGCAGAAATCAATGTCCCAGTTATCAATGAACTCTTTTTACAAGGGTATAAATGGAAGATTACAAGGGTATAAATGGAAAATAACCAACAGCATAATTCTATATATGTACTCAGAAGTAACCCCCACTAAGCTCATTGGCACTGCTCCCATGTAAGTGCGAACAGGTATTTGTATTAAATCTACCATTATTTCCCAAGGGTGATTCGTTTTCTCTGAAACAGGTATTCAAGCAGTCCCCGAGTTACAGA